AATCAATATGTCACTTTTGTTTGGTTAATGAATGTTTCCTTAATGAAAATTTAAGCACTGAATTGTGGTTTAAAATCAATAATTATCATCAGAAAGAATTTTAGTGGAACCAGTGACCAAAACCATTTGCCTATTTATATATTTTCACCATGATCAGAATATTTTATATAATAATATTATGCCATTTTTAGATCACATATCCAAAATATTACATACAATGTAAAAAAAAAGTAAAACTTAAACAAATTACTTTGACTTGTTACAATTAAATGAATTAAGTTTGACAAATCTAAATTATGACAGTTTTCAGTAATAAATTAAGTTCAGTGTTTCTTCAAGGATTTTTTCCAGTTGTGGTGGCAGCCCTTTTACACAGATCTTCTAACTACCTATGGCGTTATTTCAGTGACGAATGTCGTGAGCACAGTATTTCAAATCAAAACCGCTTTCATGTAATACAAGCATGCAAATTTATTCGCTTGCGTGCCGATTTCCTCTGTTCGTGTGCAAAACTTGCATGCCCTCAAACATACAGGTGTATGTGTATGTATGCACTTTTATTTATTTAGTTTTAATTTCCAAAATGAATCCTCATTGTTTTTAACAAGTTTATTATTCAATGATAATAAAGCTTGTTAAAAATTTGAATGGTTAATAAAGGAATTATAATGCTTTATTTCGTTATTTCATCTTCATTTACAAGTAGCAGGGCATTTACAGCTACTGTATATTTCTGTCCATTCACATCCCGTCCCTTTGTGCCCAATGGCGGCATAGTCGCAAACTTCTGTTACACCTAGAAACACAGTCTTAATCCTTTAGTGCGGAGGCGTTTAAGTTATTTATTTATGGCAAGTGTACGTTGTTCGTTGTTAATAGTAAACACTACTTGTACGTGCCACAAAACATTGAAAGTATTATTACATGAACATGGTAAGGAAATTGTTTGTACTGGACTGTATGTACTGTTCCATTCTTGTTCTCTTAAATAAATGATTAAACGTGTTACACCTAAAAGAACTAACTTATTAATGAAAACTGTTGTAAATTAAGTTTGTCAACCTTAATTAATTTCTTTGTAACAAATTGAAGTAATTTGTTTAAGTTTACGCTTTTTACAGCGTAGACTGCTTTAATTAATCACCTTAAAACAGACAACCTGAACAAAATAAATGAATAACTACAACATGAGTGTTTTAATTTTTAGTTTTACTGTGTTTTTATTATTATTATTATTATTTTGTAAATCTTCACTTTTGGTTTGAATCTCCCTCTGATGAAAGCATTTTTGTGGTGCATCCCTAGTTCTGGAATTGTTTGCATTGGCTTCACTTTTTGAGATGGATCATTTTAGTGCCCGTAATGGATGATGAATCTCTTGTACACTGTGCAAAGTGTGCACAAAGTTTAAAGGGATAGTTCACCCAAACATTTCCTGAAATTTTTTCACCTTCAAGCCATCCAAGATGTAGTGACCTTATCATTTTTAGTTGAACTATCCCTTTAAGACATATTTTAGTGTTTGGGTTTGTGTCGGGTTTGGCATGAGGTGAAGGTAAGTTCCTTCTGTCTATTTTTTCATTTTGTTTTGTCTGGATTTGATCAGATCTTTTTTTTATTCATCTTGCGTGCCGCGAGTGGAATAGATTGGTGGAAAGATGTGCTAGTGTTAAACGTAGCGTTTGAGCATGCGGGACCGCAGTCACTCTCCTCTGCTGCCAGATTTCCTAAAGCCATCATTGTCTTCCCCGTTTTTCCACATTGTGTGATGAAGATGTCTCAAACCCACAGCATGTCCCGACGACTTTAGGAAATCTGGCTTTTGGGTTTCTCTCCTGGTGCTCAGATGTGCATGTCTTTGGTGAACTTTTGTCCTCCCACATCCTCCATGACTTAGTTTGAGATCTCATCCCAGAATAAATGACACCTGCAACTTTATCTTCATGGTAGGGCTGCACAATATATTGAAAAACTATCATAGCGTGATAATAGTAAATTCAATATCCATATCGCAGAGAAGTGCATTAAATTACATTAATATCAGTCAAGCATTTGTGTGCTACATCATGTTGTTTATCAAAAATCTGACCAATCAGGTGGGACCTTTACTATTTTTATCCCCACTTTTCCAGTAGGTGGTGTTAGGTGAACCTAGAGCAGAAAGTAACAGTGTTGTTGGGAGACGAAGAGAGTTGATAAGAATCAGAGTTTACGTTTCAAAGGTTTCTAGTTATTTGTGATGTTTAAAAGACTAACCATGAGTTGACACCGCCACGAACGTGAGCGTCAAAATAACTGAAAGTCATTCATTTTTATTAGAAAATGCTGTGGCGACTGTCGAGTTTTGGCGAAAGGATCAAGGTGTTGCTTTGCAATTAATCGAAATTCAGTTTTGATATCGATTTTGGCTCATATTTTGGATTTTTTGCGTCATATCCCGCCCCCTTTCCAGCAGTGCGCATTCGTTTGAGATGAAAATTAGTAAAAATAACGTGACTTTTGCAGCATGAAACGAGCTTAATTGATTGATGTGTATTCGATTCGTTCCTGTTAATAAAATCGCGAAAGAGAACGCATGCTGTTGTGTACACATGCCGCCTTACATCTAAAGCAGTGTTTCTCAACTGGTGGGTCGTGACCCAAAAGTGGGTCGCGGGAACATTTTCAGTGGGTCGTGGAGTGTGTGGACAAAATTACAACAAAAGTTTAATTTTTAAATAATTTTGACTTTTATTTTGAAATGCGTGTACGACCACCCTACCGTTTTACATGTGAAATTTCATTTATTTATAGCAACTAATGTCGAAGCGCAAGTATGACCCGGAATATGTAAAGTATTAATTTACATATATTGACAACAAAAAAAGACTTAAAGGGCCATGAAACTCCCTTGTTTCAGCAACACCTCTACTTTGGAAAAAGTCTGAAAAATGGGAGTGTCCAGCTCTGTTTAGGTGGGAGTGTCGGAGAAAGAAAAGAGGCATAGTGTGGGAGTGTCTATTTGGGCGCGCTGACTTTCAGAGTCACAAAATGCGGTGAAAATCCTACACGAGGTTAAAGTTTGGTTGTGGTGCTAACATGTTTACACTAAGTGCAATAGTTTGTTCGATACAAACAAACTGAATAAACAAAGAATATTAATTAACAAAGAATATTAATGAAGTTGCACAATAGAGCGCGCTGATTGGTTTGAACCAAGCTTTACTCATGCATTAATGCATCACACTGTAAGACGTAATAAGGCACACTCTGGCACAGACGCCCAGTCTGCACGCTGGAATACAGGCTATTATGTCATGGCCGTGACGCAGCCTCAAAAATTCGTTTCAAACCGGAAGTACGAATTTGCTTGAAATAACGCAAAAACAACCAATTTACACTTTTTAGTGAAATAAATGTGTCCCAATAGTGTTTTTAGCAGTGTGGGACACATATACGACTGTCAACAGCTCAAAAAATGTGTTTTGGTGTTTCGTGACCCTTTAAAATCTCAGTGTGTCATAAGTAGCGAGGTGCTCTCACAAGAGAGCACAAAACTTTTAAAATTAAAACGACATTTAGAAACCAGACAAAATGTTTTATTAACAGTTCAGTTTAGTTCATGGTAACTGAACCTTTCCTTACCCTAACCACTGTTTACTGTTTTTGTCGTTTTTACTTTGTAATATTTCTATAATTTCATATATTTCGTTAAAAGACAGCAATAAAATATTGTTTATTTGTAAGTCTTGGTGATTTTCTTATGATTTATCTGTCACTACTTGTGTGTGTTAACAAATAAATACAAATTAATTATAATTCTTAAAATTGTATTATAGTTCCTAAAAATTTGGGTCGCTGCTTGATGACCATGTAAAAATGTGGGTCCCATGGCCAAACCAGTTGTGAACCCCTGATCTAAAGTATACTTGAGCACCTTAATGGACAAATACATGCATAGACATGTCAAAACATGGCGTTTGTTTATTACTCACATTAACCGCTCTGTGTTATAGAGAAATAATTGAACATAAAGAGTAAAGAATGAAACGACACGTGAAAGTGAACTTTTTTGACTTATGGCCCACTGATTATCAATTTAAATAATCGTGATTACAGTTATGACCAATTATTTGAAATTAGGTCAACTTTATGGTAATGATCTATGATGTGTTTCGGCAGGATCCTATCAAAATGTTTGTGTCGGTTGATGAGAATGGAGTGCGATCAACTTTGTTTCAGATCACGAGTTCCCAAGCAAAACAAAAGCAGAGTTAGTACAATTTGGATTTCCCAGTTTGTAATGTGAAATGCAGCATGAAACCCAAATGTCTTCTATAAACAGCATGTTGACTAATTAGACTTAAAAAATGCTGCGTTCCACACAATCGATTTGTGTTCGATTAGGTTAACTTATTTTTTTATTATTATTTTTTTCAAATTAAAGTAGATTGAACACAATTAAGTTCAAAAACCCTCAAGAATTGTATCATTTCAGATATTTTAATAAGTAGTTTGAACAAACAGCAAACATCTTTTTTTTTTTTTTTTACTTTTAAAATTTTTTATTTGGTTTATTTAATTTGGAAACAAGTAAACATGTCCCTTGACATCATCAGTGACGGCCACCATTAATAAACAAATTTTGACACTCCCGTTTGCAGTGGTGTCAAAGCACGATAAATGTTTGTGCCTTTACATAGTTATTAAAATTTTATTATTTCAATAAATATGTTTTACCCGTTTATTTTAGTATCATCATAACTTATAAATTATAAATATATTACAACTTAATAAATTATTTGGTAGTTAATAACTGATAAAATAGCTTTCGCGAGTTAGTTATATTGTACGAAATATCGTTATCACTACACTCGACAATAATATGGCATATTTTCCCAGTATTGTGCAGCCCTACTTCAAGCTGTATGTGTTTGTTTGTTAGTGTATAAAATGTTTTTTTTTTTTTTTTATTCCCAAATGTGTTGTTTTATCTTGGCGGTCTCTTCCTCCTCTGTCAGGTAAACGTAAAGCCCTGAAGTTAAATTTTGCCAATCCTCCAATCAAAACCACTTCCAGAATCACTTCCGGACTTCCTTTCCAGAACCCACACATGTGAGTATGGATCGTCTCTCACACCTACACATGCATACAATGTATTATTTAAACAATACTTAATGATGGGCAGTTGAATCATTACATAGTAAATGGGCGTTACAACATGAATGTGGATTATGCCCTAATAATCCAATGTCCTGGAGTACATTATTCTGCTTATACTCGTTCACACAGCCACAGTTCAAATGTTGTATTTCAGAGGTTTGTCAGGTCTTTGTCCTGCTCCCGTGTGTAGCACTAGTCTCTCACACATCTCATGCAAAGCCATCCAATGCCTTCTGTTGTCTTTTATTGTCATTTTGGGCTGTTGTAGTTGTGAAATAACTCAAATCATTCAGTGTAGTGATGTGTAGCTGTAATGCACTCAAAACATGCCGGAACTACTTTATCTGTGCATTTATCTGAAAATAACTGCACACCAGAGAATGCTCATCAGCCAATCAGAATCAAGCATACAGCCCAATAGAAACTGCATTTTAATAGAATGTGTATTTTTAAATGATGTCAGAGAATGTTTTTATTCGGGAAATATGTTAAGGGCAATGTTCAAAAGCTGTCTACTGGAGGAATTTTAGATTATCATTATTTGTCACTTATTAAGCTTTATTCTGCATTTCCGAGGTCGCCACTATTCTTGCATATGTTTTTATGCTGCGGTTACTCAGGGCCCACGCGTCCATAGAGGCGACCTAGACGGGAGGGCGGCTTCCCCGACACTACCCTCACCTCTTGCGCCCTCAGTTATATCCGCGTCTAGGGCCGCGTCCGCGACACTACCCTCACCACCTGCACCCTTAGTTATATCCTCTTCTAAGGTGGCAGAATAGAGAGGGCGGCGTCCACGACACCTCCCTCATCACCTGCACCCTCAGTTATATCCGCATCTAGGTTGGCAGAATAGAGAGGGCGGCGTCCGCGACACTACCCTCACAACCTGCGCCCTCAGTTAAATCCGCGTCTAGGTTGGCAGAATAGAGAGGGTGGCCTCTGCGACACTACCCTCACAACCTGCGCCCTCAGTTATATCCGCGTCTAGGTTGGCAGAATAGAGAGGGTGGCGTCCGCGACACTACCCTCACAACCTGCGCCCTCAGTTAAATCCGCGTCTAGGTTGGCAGAATAGAGAGGGTGGCCTCTGCGACACTACCCTCACAACCTGCGCCCTCAGTTATATCCGCGTCTAGGTTGGCAGAATAGAGAGGGTGGCCTCTGCGACACTACCCTCACAACCTGCGCCCTCAGTTATATCCGCGTCTAGGTTGGCAGAATAGAGAGGGTGGCCTCTGCGACACTACCCTCACAACCTGCGCCCTCAGTTATATCCGCGTCTAGGTTGGCAGAATAGAGAGAGCGGTGTCCGCGACACTACCCTCACAACCTGCGCCCTCAGTTATATCCGCGTCTAGGTTGGCAGAATAGAGAGAGCGGTGTCCGCGACACTACCCTCACAACCTGCGCCCTCCTTTGCCTAGAGCCGCAGTTCAGCTTGCTCCTTTCAGCCCTCCAGCTGCAACTCAGTACTGGGAAACACCCATACACTTCCCATACACACACACTTCGAGCAATTTAGTCCATTCAATTCACCTATACTGCATGTCTTTGGACTGTGGAGAAAACCGGAGCACCTGGAGGAAATCCACAACAACAATGGGAGAACATGCAAACTCCACAGAGAAATGTTAACCTGGCCTAGCGGTTACTCGAGTCAGCAACGTTTTTGCTATTAGGCGACAGTGCTAACCACTGAGCCACCATGCCGGCCTGTTTATCATTAACCAAATAAAAAGATTGTGTATGACTCTTTTCAGTGTTGTTGTTTGTATGTTTTTTGTACTTTGAATATTTATTAAGAAACTGATATGATTGCATGTTATATAATGTATATTTAGTATAGGTTTTACCATGAATAAAGCCAATGTTGCTGATTTGGGATTAAAACAAACAAACAAACAAACAAACAAACAAACAAACAACAAATAAAAAATAAATACATAAACAAACTAACTAGCTAACTAACTAACAGCCCAAAAGTATAATGTAACTTGTTAAACTAAATAAATTACTAATCAAAAAAATGTACTGTGTTCTTCATGTGGATTTGCATCTAAGAACAACCTTTAAGGAGCACTTTTATTTTTAAATCTGAGAAGTGAAGTTTATTTAAAAACTATGTTCGGGAGGATCACCTGCTTATGATTGACCACGGCTGGTCCCGCATTAGCTAAACACATGATTCAATAATCAGATGATTCCTAACTCATCATAAATAACCAGAGTTTCTTACTTCAGTTATCTTGAAGAATCCCCCCTCCACCCCTACTCCTCCCCTTTTTCTGGATTGCGTGACGCGGTGGCTCATTGGTTAGCACTGTCGCCTCACAGCAAGAATGCCACTGGTCTAAGTCCTTACTAGGTCAGTCGACATTTCTGTGTAGAGTTTGCATGTTCTCCCCAAGCTCGCGTGGGTTTCCCCGGTTTTCCCCCACAGTCCAAAGACATGCGACATAAGTGCATTGACCAATCCAAATTGGCGCCATAGATGAGCTCTAAGTCAGCAGTATATCTGTCCATAGCAATCCCTAATGTGTTATTTGTCATAAATAAGCAGGGGAGTTTTCGAGATCTACCAGAGCTCAAACTCCCCTCTCGCCCTGCAAAAGGGAGGGAGCCCCAGGCTCGAAGATCTTATGAGCTCAGGGCTATCTCTAGGCTCTCTCCTCAAACACACTTTATAATGAATCATCAGCTAAGTGTGAACTCTTGAAATTAATAAAAAAAAACAGGCATAACATTGGATAGTGATCCAATAGAGTGTTATCTTTCCAGACGTCTTTACATGCGTGTGTGTTTTCAGAGAGCGGCTGCGAACACACAGTATCGAGTCGTCTGGGAAGCTGAAGATCTCAGCGGAGCAGCACTGCGATTTCACAGCAGAAGACCTGAAGGATCTCGGCGAGATCGGCAGAGGAGCGTATGGCTCGGTCAACAAGATGGCGCACAAACCCAGTGGACAAATCATGGCCGTCAAGGTAAGATCTGCATTCTTTCACTTATGCGCATTTCACAACTGCGTCCCTTCATCAGTAGCAAGGATGCTGAGACTGTCATCCATGCATTTGTCTCCTCACGCATCGACTACTGTAATGCTCTTTTCATTGGCCTGCCTGCCAGCCTCATCTCCAGATTACAGTATATTCAAAACTCTGCAGCTAGAATACTCACTCATACCAAACGTTCTGCTCACATAAGCCCAATCATGTATGATCTTTATTGGCTCCTGGTTGCATACCGCGTTAAATTCAAAATTCTCCTCCTTGCATTTAGATCCTTAAATAACTTAGCACCCTCCTATCTCTGCAACATGCTTGTCCCCTACACCCCAACTCGCTCTTTACCCCAACTCGTTCTGCTGACTCTGGCCTTCTTGCTGTCCCTCGGTACCGCCTCTCTTCAATGGGGGCAGATCATTTAGTGTTATTGCACCCAAACTCTGGAACTCTCTACCACACTCACTCCGCTCTGCTAATAACATCTCTGAATTCAAAGCATTACCTAAGACTCACTTATTTTCCGAATGCTTTGCTTCTGATCTGCTAAACTGACCACTTAATCTGATCCACCACTACTCCGCTCATATGTCTCTTAGGGTGCTTTCACACCTACACTTTTGTTTCAGAACGTATCTCGTTTGCCCAGTTAGCGCGGTTCGTTTGGCATATGTGAACAGGGCAATCGCGCTCTGTTCCGCGCCAAAGTAATCGCTCCGAGATCGCTTGAGTGAGGTAGTCTCGGCTCGATTGAAACGAACCCTGGAGCGGTTCGATTTTAGTGAGAAAGCAATCCGATCCAAGCGCGGTTGTAACACTGTGTTTTATAGATATGTAATAGGCATATATGGCTATATGGAGAGAGAATTATGAGTATGGCGGGAAGTTTCGTGAGTCTCCGGATGCCCGCAAACGAGTGATGATCTCCAGGTAATCTCGCGTCTCCCTCCAGGTCCTCAAATAGGCATCGTCGCGCACCCTTCTCACCCCTCCCCTCCGCATCTCTCCTCAGACACGTCGCGCGCACACCCTGTCAATCCCCACCAAACCACCACCTCTCCTGACAGCTTAGCGGGATGCTGCAAAATAAACCCTGACACTCTGACCAATGTGAGGAGAGTTTACTCGCACGTGACTTGTTTTAGCTCTTTTGGTCTGATTAGAAACTTTGCAGTGTGAAAGCGAACCGCTCCAAGAGCAAAGAGCAACAATGTAACAATTGTAATCTCTGTTTCGGAACAACTGAATCGATTCACAGGTGTGAAAGCACCCTCAGGTCTTGTTTGTGTAATTCCAGTTTGTTATATTTGACCTCATGTATGTTTGTTTATCTTTTTGTTGCATTCCTTGTAAAGTGTTCTTGAGCTCTGGAAAGGCACTATATAAATAAAAATTATTATTATTATTATTATTAAGAATAATGTGTAGGTTTATGCATTCAGCAGACACTTCTATCTAGCAATTCATTGTAGATGTAGCAATATATCACATTTGTTTCATTTAGTTGAAGTCAGAATTTTTAGCTCCCCTTAATATTTTTCGCCAATTTCTGTTTAGTGGAATTTTTAATAACTTTAGTTTTAATAACTTATCTCAAATAACTGATTTATTTTATCTTTGCCATGATGACAGTAAATAATATTTGACTAGATATTTTTCAAGACACTAATATTCAGCTTAAAGCAACATTGAAAGGCTAAACTAGATTAATTAGGCAAGTCATTGTATAATGATGGTTTGTTCTGTAGACCATTAAAAATAATATTGCTTAAGAGGGCTAATAATATTGACTTTAAAATTCTTTAAAAAAAATAATAACTAAGTTTGATTCGCAGGATCCTCTTGCTAAATTATATAATGATTATGCATAGTTTTACATATTAAGCTAAAGGCTTATGTTAGTTAGTGCTTACATAATGGTCATTTCCACTGTGCTGTATATAAAAGTATAATGTTGAAATCACTTAGAAATTCCTTGTGAATTTCACAAGCAATTATAAAGAAACAGGAAGTCAAAAAATTAATGCTGTGTTATAAATAGAAGGCCAGACAGTGTGATAATAATGGTCTATACAATGTTACAAAACAAAAACTGTACGTCTCATGCTCTTTGGACAAGTAATGCATTTGTAGTGTTTTTGTGAATTACTACAGTTGTTTGAAATGTTTAATGAACAAATGAATTATTATGTGAATTTTATTTTATAATAGTTTAATTTAAATTTCTTGTTTTATATAGTCAAGACATCACTCTCTATACACATACACACATTAAAAAGGAATAAAGGCAAAAAAGGATGTATATTTGTCAGATTGCTGTGTTATGTGTTTAGATTTGTGAGTGTATGTGTGTATATATTGTCATTTTGAACACTAAGTTTTTTCATTCTTTAATAAATCTGACTAATAATCATCATCCCCTTTTTATTATGTTCAGAGATGGGAAGTAACGAAGTACAAATACTTTGTAACTGTACTTAAGTAGATTTTTCTGGTATCAGTACTTTACTCCACTACTTATTTTTCTGACAACTTTTTACTTTTACTTCTTACATTTTTACACAAATATCTGTACTTTCTACTCCTTGCATCTCTTAAAATTGGGCTTGTTACTTTCATTTTAATGCGCTTTGTGGTGCGATCTATATTATTTCTTGTCATCACGCACCTGTGTGCTGCAGTGCGCGGCCTTTTCAACCTCTGATCACACACCATATGCAGGCTTGTATATTAAACTTACCATGATAATGGCAAGAATGAGGAACTTGGATGAGACAGAATCAGCGATGTAAACATGACTGATGTCATGATTATTCCGGGTAATAGACTAAGTTGCGTTTTGGTCGACCAGATCACAGGTAAACATGACATTTCTGATTAGATCTGGCATTTAAATGGGGATGAAGACTTTTGTCCTCTTCCAACCAAGCTGTACTGTACTTCTCTGATCTTTCAATCTACTTCCGTGAAAAACAAAAAAACAAAACTTTAACTAAACTAAAACAGGTAGCAGTAATGAATACTTTTTACTACTTTGTTACTTTTACTTGAGTACAAAAGTGTGGTGAGTACTTCAATTTTGTATCTGTACTTCTACTTGAGTAAAGGATTTGTGTACGTTTGCCATCTTTGATTATGTTAACAGGGGTGATAGCGTTCCGGCACCACGCCGGATTTCCGGCGTACTGTGGCTGCGGGGAAAAAAAAAAATCAGGTTCACAGATATTGATCTGTCATTTCTCTAGATTCACAGAATTCACTCACTGCTGAATGCGCCGGATGGGTTTTATTAAGTGCCATTTTGTGTGCTCGTGAATCATCTTTTGAGTGTAGACGCCATGTAAATAAAAGATTAATTGTGTAATTTAGAGAGCTTTATAAATTATAACGGATCTTTGTGAGATCTCTATGAACTAAGATTAGTGACGCATTTAGTGATAATAAGAGGAGCGTGCTTTGCACTTTCCAGGCTATAATCTATTCAGAATTTGTATGAAACTTTCGTTTTCGGCACATATACGCTGATATGTTTTGGGAATGACATCTGCATATTTACGCTGGGTTTATTCTCGAAATAACGGTGAAGCAATAGACGGGACAAAAATATATTTCCCCCTTCTCCTTAAACAACTTAGTGTTTCAGCTATGAAATAGTTCAGTTTTGTATGTATCTTAATGGTAAAGTGTTTATATTTAGTTTCGTTTTTTATTCAGCTTATTTAGAAAAACGTTTGGGGCATTTTTTATTCGTTAAAAATAAGTTTTTTAACGAACAGCGCCCAGCGGAAGACCATCATTGTCTGTTTGATCAGTTTGCCTTCTCAGATCTCCACGACTTGCCTAAAATAAAAGATATAAAACAGTTCAAGTATAAAACAATGGTAGCTTAAACGTTAAAGAATGTGTGCTATTAGGCACATAGTTTGCTTATAAAAAGCTTGCAGGACATCGAGGCGCCAGAGCAATCACTTGCATTTTTTCAGTGGGAGCAATTTAAAGTTATCCGTCATTTTTGCTCACAAAGTACAAGTAATACATCAAAAAACGTTACAGCGTTTTTATAAAATAAAGAAAACCAAAATTATGCGCTTTCTGTCGTCTGGTTTTTGAACAGGAGCGCTTAACAAAATGAAGCAAAATGTATATGCCTCACAGACATAATAAATATATTTATAGAAAGCTTTAAATTATTACTTAACGAAATAAAACAAATCGAAAACAAAAAACTCCTTCATGTAATCCGTAAAGATGATTTTCTTTCTAAAGGCGAGTCCAAGAGGAGATTGCCAGTCAGGATCTTTGCGACACTGACTCAGAATATGTAAATAATAAATTAAAATAATAAAATAAAAAAATAAAATAAAATAATAAATAATTAAGATATGTCCTTTCTCTTTCCTCGACACATTCATTGTTATTTGTTTTTGCCGGTGCTTGGGGCGAGTTTTAGCTTATTGTGTGCGCTTGAACGCGGATTCACAGTAGCAGTTTTAACATGGAGTGACACGACATCTGACGTACAGATGACACTGGCACAGTCCGGTTTTCCACTGTCATGTGTCACTTGCTAGTGGCATGTGTAGTGACCTGTCAGTGTGTCACTCAGAGTGTCGCGCTGCATGTCACTGCAGTGACATCGACACCCGGCGAAGCTTATGACATTAATTAACACGAGCAAAACCATATTTAATCATTACGCGACTTTTAACCTAATTTATCGCGTCGCAAGTTAGTTTATTTGCTGAGCTACTCCACGATGTTTTAATTTAAACGCATTTATTTTATGTATTCGTAGTCATACTTCCGTACGTAATATAGTCATTTGACAGTACATGTCAGTCAAATTTATTGTGGCATGCTTATGTATGGGAGGGGTTACACTTATCTGTTGTACTGTATATTATTGCATCCTGGCAGTTCCTTTGTTCCCTACAATATGGACTTCTCTATGTTTTTAATTCATTCCTTTATTTTATTATTTAACTTATTTTCATTTTAAGGTATTTTAAAAAATATCCTTTAAAAAGTTATAATAAAATGCATGTTGAAAACTCATAACATATATGCATGTAAGATAACAGGTTTCATTTGCCTAATGATTTTTAAATATTAAAGCAAAGAGACTTATAAGATTAAGGTGCTTATAACGTGCTTATACTGACACCTACTGGCACATGTCACAAGATCACTGACACTGGCATGTGTCACTGACATTACTGGCATGTGTCTAAAAAGAGCCACTTGACAATAATGATGATTAGGGTTACACATAGGCTGTTAATATATTTGGGCCCAGGGGCCCACAAGTTATGTGTTAAAAGTGCGTTGCATACATAGTACCCCCACCCCTACTCACCTCAGGGGCAAGGAAAAAAAGTTCAGGCTCAGGAATTTTTTCCACTATCAGCCCTGTGTTAAACATATCTTGGGAAGACTCATTTTAAACAGCCTCAGAATACATTAGGGTGATAAATAATGCACTTTAAACATTCAGTTTTGCACACTGAATAATAATAATAATAATAATAATAATAATAATAATAATAATAATACAAAAACCTGCAGTGTGGTTTAATTTGAATCTGTTCTCACTTTCGCATTGACTTGTATGCAATTTACTCGCACCAATACTTTTTCAATATTTTTTCTGGTGTGAAGCCAGCGTAAAAGGCTTTTATTACCGATTATTGGTTCGATGTGATTTACTTTTTTGCTTTTATTTTCTTTTTAACGAAGGAGAGGAAAACGATTTATAAAAATACCTGTGTAGGTGTGGACATTAAGCTATGGCAAGCCAAAGGGCTCACAATTCTGCCATACATACGTGTGTTTTGCTTCAGAACTGCATTTCTACCAGTGTTGTTGGCAATATGAATTGATGAAATTGTCAACGTTGAAAAGTAGAGATGTTTTATTCTATTATGCCATTCCTTCTAGAAAGGACTTCAGTGGTAGTAGTTTTCATTTTTAGCATAATAATGATCTGCTAATTGCAGTTAAATCCTATTTAAAGAAAGAAAACAGCTGATGAAACGCAGACAGTCATGAAATGGCCTCCACAAGGTCAAAAGAAAGATATGACACTCTGAAGCAATAGTCTCAAAATCAATTCCTGGAGGGCCGCAGCTCTACATAGGTTATCTTCTACCACCTCCACTCACACCTGCTATATAGTCTCTAGTAGTCTTGAACACCTTGATTAGTTGGAGCCGCTGTGTTTAATTAGGGTTGGAGCAAAACTGCAGAGCTGCTGCCCTCCAGGAATTGAGTGTAAGACCTATGCTCTAAACCTACAGACCAACTCTGGAGAGTGCTTTAAAAAGAAGCTTGACATGTGCCACAGTACATTATTTTAGAAAATGTCAGGACAATTAGAACAAAGTGTTTTTATAATAATAATAATAATAATAAGCTGCAGAGTGTATCAGACTTTACTCTATAGTCATGAATTTATTATTGTCATTTTCTTCCATTTTAACTGTCTTAGAGTTGCACATTATAGAAGACTGTTAAGATTTGTTTCTTTTAATTTTAGGTTTTGAGCTTTTTAACTTGTGAAACTTTATTTTGTCCTCCTTGTTTGATAATTTAGGATGCTAAATGAAAATACCTGAACTGATAGAGATTGTTGTATTGACTTTGAGAAGTAAAAGGTTCTGAAAAAGGTTTTTTTCGTGCCTCTTTAATGCTCAAGCGTGAGTGTGTTTGTGTTTTTTCCAGAGGATTCGTTCAACAGTAGACGAGCGAGAACAGAAGCAGCTGCTGATGGATCTGGATGTGGTCATGAGGAGCAGCGACTGTCCGTACATCGTCCAGTTTTACGGGGCTCTTTTCAGAGAGGTTCGTCTGATTCATCAGCTTACTGACCTTTTTTGAGACTCCATTTACACTGTATGGTTCAAGTGACCCAATTCTGGAACAATCACATGGATTCTGATTCACTCAAATCAGATTCAGTCCGCTTTCATATGTGGAAATTTATCCGATATGAGTCTGATCCGTGCACTCATGTCTACTGTGTAAGCAGGTAGATACATTTTCACCTGTCAATGAACGTCACACAGCATTAAAAAATGCAGCAAATGACATCAACTCTTGATACTTTCATTTCAGAACAGACTTCAGGAAAAGTCCCAAATCTTAAATCTTATATACTAGGACACAAAAAAGAGAGAGAGCAACATCCGCCACATAAACAACATAAACTAATATAAAACCCCACTGAACATGATTTCATTTCTGCGACCGTCACATCCACCCCTCCCTCTCCCCCATAGTGCATGATTTCACCAGGGGCCCCCTTCAGGACCCCCACATTTTGCGCTACGCCACAGATTAAGATGCCTACTGGTTTAAAAGATGGCTAAATGAGAACTTTTCTGTCATAAACGATAGTAAAAACATTTAAACATTTAAAAAAAAGAATTAAAAAAATTAAACCCTGTGAACAGATTAAATACAGGAATGGAGAAAAGACTGCTCTTTTATTACCAGCTGTCAGTCAGCGCCCGCTCTTTTTTTTTTTTTTTTTTCTATTCATTGCGCCTTTGTTGTGTGCAGTCAGTGTGAATCAAGACGAACAGATACAAGTCCCTTTTAAAAGCTGTTGTAAGCCGGTCATCACAAAAATCAGATACAGTCACTAAATCAGAGTTGACTATTACGATCTGCAGTGTAAATGCAGCCTGAGAAAGCCATTCATACTCAAAAATAACGCCTTGTTTTCTGTTTCTAGGGGGATTGCTGGATATGCATGGAGCTCATGTCTACCTCCTTCGACAAATTCTACAAATATGTTTATTCCTCTTTAGACGAAGTGATTCCAGAGGAGATTTTAGGGAAAATAACATTAGCTGTGAGTCTCCTTTTTTGGCATTCAGATCTGTTTGGGTTTTAATGAACGCTGCATTCATGTATACACTCTATGTGTCGTTTCAGACTGTGAAAGCACTTAACCACTTAAAAGAAAACTTGAAAATTATTCACAGAGGTAAGACAGCTTTTTTATTACTGTTCAGGTTATTTTTGTGTGTTTGATTAGAGTCTAATTGCCTGTCCACATGAACACAGGTATTTTCAAAACCAATATACAGTTAAGGTTATGTTTTTTTTTTTTAATATTTCCTAAATGATGTTTAACAGAGCAAGGAAATTTTCACAGTAAAGTAAAAAGAACTTATCATTTGCCATAAAAGTGTAATTACTGAACTTACACACAGCAGTCTGAAAAAAACGCTCATTTTAGAAGAAAATTTCAGATGGCATTTAGAGGTTTTTGCATCTAAACTCTTCATTTGTAAACAAACACTTGCAATCAGTTCATGAGATCGGCCAGATCAGCAAGTACCAATCAAGTTGTGAAATGTGATTAACGGCCGATACTAATCTTCGGCCGATTGATCGGAGCGTCCCCACATTGTCATTTCTTCTGGAAAGGACCTCAGTGGTAATAGTTTTCATTTTCAGCATGATGATGATCTAAAAATTATAGTGAAATCCTATTTAGAGAAAAAAAAAAAAAAAAACACTGATGAAACACAGACAGTCATGAAATGTCCTGCACAGAGTCCAGACCTGAATATTATTGAGGTTGTATAATATCATCTTGACAAAAATAGTAAGATTAGATAATCTAAACCTAAAGAAGAACCCTGACAAGTGCTAAAAGAAGTCTGATATTACACAGCACGTTATTTCAGAAAATGTCAGGACAATTAAAACAAAACAGTTCAAGCTGTACTTGGTGCCAAGGGAAGCCGCATTAAACATAGTCTTTTGCTTGATGAGGAAATGCTGTGCTGATGTTGTTTTTTTGTACATATTTCCTGTATTTAATTAAACTGATTAATTATATATTGTGCAAAAGTGTCAGCTTAGTGGCAGATTCAAAAACAAGACTAATGTCCTATGCTAATGATGGATAGATTGTCATTAGTGTTTCTGCTGACCGGTTTTATCAAGAGTGAATACAAAGAATAAAATCAATACATTTCTACCATTAAGAGCTGATTATAGTCACAGACTGCTGCCACACAACTGTTTAAACCCCTTATGAATGTGATTAGGTGCTCTTTAAAAGTCACGAAAAGGCTGTTCTGAAGTAAAATGTGTATTTGAAGAGTTCAGACACAAAAAACTTTAAGTGCTGTCTGAAATTTCAGTTGAAAATGAAATTATTTTTCCCCCTCCTTTGTTTATGTTCAGTTATTTCAATATAAAGACCAGAAAAATAACATATTTTTGCCATAAAGGTGTAATTACTGAACTTACAGCAGTCTGAAAAAAATGCTCATTTTGGAAGAGAATTTTTGGATGCATTTAGAGATTTTTGCATCTGAACTCTTCATTTATTGGTGTAATTGTGAGCCCTTTGGCTTTTCATTTAAAGCGAGGCTCAGTTTGTGGATTTCTTGTTTGTAACTGGTTAGATGTGAAGGCAGTGCTGTTTTCCTCTGACTGAAGCTCTTTTTGGTCCTTTCTGCAGACATAAAGCCATCAAATATCCTCCTGGACAGGAAAGGCAACATTAAACTGTGTGATTTTGGCATCAGTGGGCAGCTGGTTGACTCCATCGCCAAAACCAGAGACGCAGGCTGCAGACCGTATATGGCAGTAAGTTTGTTTATTCGCTTATACTGTATATACAGTACGCACTACTGTTCACGTAGTTGTGGTTTGGATGATTTCTGTAATGTTTTTTTTTTAAGTTTCTTTGCTTTCCAAAGCTGAATTTATTTGATGGAAAATACAGTTGGAAAAGCAATATTGTAATATTTTTTTAAAATGTAATTTATTTTCTTTATGCAAAGCTGATTTTTTTTTTTAGTGCCCTTCAGGTTCCGTAATGATCCTTCAGAAATCAATATAATGTATACAGCTACTGTAAACAAGGGGACACTAATTAAAAATCCTCAGTGTCTCTGGATTTACCTTTATATTCAATTCAATTCATCTTTATTTCTATAGCACTTTTACTATGTAGAGTGTGTCAATTATAGTTTTGTGCAAGTACATTATTTTCTATTATTATTTTATTCTGTAAAGTACTACTGACATTTTTTTAATTAAAAAGAAATATTGTATTTTGTAAACAACATCAACATCTTAATTTTCATCGAACAACAACACTATTTTGAAAACGGAACCAGTTTTGTTTTAGTTAAGTATTTTTTAAGTTAAGAAATCAATATCTGGTCAAATAAGTTTGGTTTTCAATGACAACAAATTTAAATAAGTTAGTTTTTTTGTCATCTGCAAAAAACAAACAAAAAGAAGTTTAAAAGTAATCTATCATATTGAATTAAAACAATATAAGTTTTTTAAATATACCCATAACTAATAAATGCAGTAAGAGATTTTTAAAGGGCTATTTTAATTAATAAAAAAAAAAAAAAAAAAAAAATATATATATATATATATATATATATATATATATATATATATATATATATATATATATATATATATATATATATATATATTTAGGGTTGTAAAATTGTTGTAATAACCTATTATTGACCATCAGTTAATTTGCATACTTTCTAATCGCTTTTTTCATTCATATTCTAATAATGAAATTTTCAACGAGCATATAGACTAAATTATTCATTTATTATTTGACAAATGAACAAAAACTCATATCTGACATAATTCATATCTTCCTTCTGAACTCCTGAACTTCCACCTGAACTGGGTGCTTGCCTGCAATTGTCATTAAATTCGGTCTTTGCCTCGGAAAGTTGACTTCTCATAACCAAAGACAGAATTACGAGCTCCACTTCAGCAGCGTTTTGTAGTTAGGAAACATTTCTCCTAAGACTACGTTTGCTGGATTCTCTGAATGTGCGATTTTCCGATCCTGCAAGCACTCATTTCACCGGGAAAAAATACTACAGCACGCGCTCCTTCTGCAGCAGGGGCGCGGCTTCACCCCTTTGCGTTCGGCGGTGCTCACAACGCACTTAAAAGCACCTAACCTCTTTGCTGCCGCTTGGTTGGCTCGTATCAGTTGTCCACGACTGAGGATGTTTGTCAGTTTGTTCTTCATCGTCCACTGCATCACTTCCTCTTTTTCCACCTTTATTATTAATATCATTACTATTTGGCCATTTAAAGAAACTTCTCACAATCAGCTGCTGTGACATTTTTGATTGTCACAGCAGCATTTGATTTTCTTTTCTTTTTTAAATATTTTAACTTGCCTAATTACCCTAACCTGCCTAGTTAACCTAATTAACCTAGTTAAGCTTTCAAATGTCACTTTAAGCTGTACAGAAGTGTCTTGAAAAATATCTAGTCAAATATTATTTACTGTCATCATGGCAAAGATAAAATAAATCAGTTATTAGAGATGAGTTATTAAAACTATTATGATTAGAAATGTGTTAAAAAAATCTTCTCTTCGTTAAACAGAAATTGGGGAAATATATAAAACATTAATAATGATATTAATTATGTAAGATATAATAAATAAAAGAAATTATATATATTTATAACTAAAATAAATATATGTTATTTTTAAATATATGTTTACTATTATTTTTTCTTCACACTATTGCATATTTTAAGCTATAAATAAATCGAGGTAACTGTTAAAAAATCATAAAAAAATAGGTTTAGGTTATTTATTGTTAATTTGAATTACTTATCGATTTTTTTTCTCACAATATTGCTAATGTTTTGTAAGCAATAAATAAATCCAATTATTTAAAAAGAATTAATTTAGGTCCACGATAAAAATGCATGTAACTTTTTAAGACACACACATGTTTTCAATAGCCATGTTTCCATTCAAAGATGTGAATTAAATTTATGGGCATAACTGCAATATCTTATAAAAGATGTGCGAATAAAGCAGCGTTTCCATTTAGTGCATGAAAGAGAACAAAATCGTCACTTCTCGATTAACCGGTGCCAAATATCAAAAGTAAAACATCATATACTGAGGCAGGAGTAGCTGCGTGAATCTTTTCTTTATTTAATAAATGACCTCAGAAGACAGTATGCTGACATGAAATAAGCGTGCGGTGGCATTCGAAGGCGTCATTTGCAGAGCACAGACGCTCTTGGTAGTTCTGGAGGTAATTAATGATATAATAACACTAATACTGAAACAGTTATGGCGTTTTAGAATGACCATAACAACATTTCAGATGTTTTACAGTGTGCTCAGCCTGATGGTTTGTCCATTCACACACATTTTTATCATCACATGATCTCTTACAACAACATTGCATGACCTTTTTTAATGCGCATACTGAAATAAACCGCCAAATAATCCAGCACATGTTTTACGCAGCGGATGCCCTTCCAGCTGCAACCCAGTACTGGGAAGCACTCATTTACATATACACTTTGGCCTAGTTTATTCAATTCCCCTATAGCGCATGTGTTTGGACTTTGGGGGAAACCGAAGCACCCAGAGGAAACACGCCAACATGAGGAGAACGTGCAAACTCCACACAGAAATGCCAACTGACCCAGCTGGGGCTCTAACCAGCAACCTTCTTGCTGCAAGGTGTCAGTGCTAACCACTGAGCCACTCTGTTGCCCTGTTTTGGTTTCATTCAGTAAACTGTTTGAGGAAGAGCATCAGTCAGTCTTGACTGGCTACTGATGAAAAATTAATTCCTGATATTTCAGTGGAGTGATGTCACCGCAGGATTGTCCATGAATGAACTTCAGCTATGATGATGTCATTCTCCAATCTGAGCCGTGATCTCATCCCTGCATTATGACGTCATCGTTCTGTAAACATCGGTAGCACAGCTGTTAGGATGTGAGACACATTCACACACTGCTGTCTGGCCGGATGTGTGTGACGCTGCACATCTGTTTCTGTGGTGTTTTGAGCTGTCTGGACCGTCTGATGTGCCTCTCGCGCTTTGTTTTTATGCGTTTAGTCAGACTGACTTCAGGATATTCCCCTTTAAAGTGAACTCGTGACCCTGGAGTTTCTAAAGCCATGCCAGCTGAAAAAATGCTATGAAATATTTACAGCATTCAGAAAACCGTTAGATCGGAAATAGGAGGTTTTAGGACAAACTGAACTGGAACATTCAGAAATAAAGTCTCTGCTAGTGTTTTACGGAAAAAAAACGTGTTCAGGAAAGCAGATTTTTTTTGTATATTTAGTATTTGATGAAAAACTAATAATACTAATAATAAGAGATGTGTTTTTATTAATAATGTAATAGTTGTTGTAATAGTAGTAATAATAATAATAATAATAATAAAATGTTGTTATTATATATATATATATATATATATATATATATATATATATATATATATATATATATATATATATATATATATATTTATTTATTTATTTATTTTTATTATATACAGTTGAAGTCAGAATTATTAGCCCCCTTCTGAAATCCAAATATTGTTTAACAGAGCAAGGAAATTTTCACAGTATGTCTGATAATATTTTTTCTTCAAGAGAAAGTTGTATTAGTTTTATTTCGGCTAGAATAAAAGCAGTTTTTATTTTTTAAACACCATTTTTCACACCAAGGACATAATTATTAGCCTATTTAAGCTAATTTATTTTTCTATAGTCTACAGAACAAGCCATCATTATACAATAACTTGCCTAATTATCTTAACCTGCCTAGTTCACCTAATTAACCTAGTTAAGCATTTAAATGTCACTTTAAGCTGTATAGAAGTGTATTTTCACTGTATTTCATTATTTTTCACTGTATTATTAAATAATCATTTAAGCACATTATATTTCATCAAGTAGAAATTGATATTTGTAGTTAAAAATACTTCAATCCTCTATTCTAGTATTAATAATAACAGTATAGTAGTTAAAAGTAGAGTTATTATTATTATTATTATACCTTAGCTTTCATTAAAAAAAAAAAATAAATAAATAATAAAAAAAAAAAAAAATATATATATATATATATATATATATATATATATATATATATATATATATATATATATATATATATATATATATATATATATAAATGGATCCTTAAGTTGATTTATTTTTTCTTAAAGGGGATCTATCATGGCCATTTTTTTAAAGATCTAAAGTAAATCTCAGAGGTCTCTAGAGTGTGTATATTAAGTTTCAGCTCAAAACATTACACAGATAATGTTTTCTAACTCTCTGAAACGGACCCTTTTAGGGTTGATACTAATTGTGTCATTTTGGTGGCTGTCGCTTTAAATTCAAATGAGATTGTGCTTATATTAAAAGAGGGCAGAGCTGCAATTGCCTGTGGATCAACATAGTGGTTCAAAAACAACATAGATATATACATTAGATGTCACCTACCCTGTTGTTGTCTATTGGAAGGAATGCGTCAATAGAGCCGCCATTTTGAAACAGGGTAGCGCTCCTTTGAAATGAATGCGGGACCAAGCTGCAGTGGAGGACTGTGGCCATCCAAAGCCAGAGATATACACATATACACATATATCTATGATCGGGAGTTTTCCTGGATGTTAGTATGTAATTTTTTTTATTTTTTATTACAAAATTTATAATTTTATATCACTTTTCTACATTGATGGATCAGTGACCGCACGTGCATTCCTGACAAAAAGCTTGTGTTTGTGTGTACAGAAATGTACTATTCACCCTCCCTGTTAAATTTGAATCTCCGTTATGAACGACTCATTCACTAGCCGACAATAATACAAGTTTCTGGCATGGCAGCATCTCGTTGTCATATTTCTTTTGCATTGTTTGCTGATTTTCTTCAAAAAAAAATTGCATAAGCCGAGTGTTTAGTGTGAGTTGGTGCTACTTTGCCTTATGGTGAATGCAGTAAGTGACTGTTATCATCAATAACGTTACCTGATTAGCACAAAGGTTCAGAACATAAAACGTTACTACACCCGTAGACAGCGCTAAAGTCCCGCACCATCACGTAATAACACTGTCTTGACTAGTGCGGTTGAATGACATTTGTTCTTGGAGCACTGTACCAATGTGGCGGCGCAATTGACGCATACTCAGGGTCCCTATGCGATATATAGTGTATATATCTGTGCAAAAACAAGACTGACGTCTTATGCTAATGAGGGAAAGATCATTACTAGTGGGCGGGGCTTGCCCTCTCTGATGACATGTACAAAGGGAGAATGTCAATCAAATTTGTGTGTGTGTGTGTGTTTCAGCCGGAGAGGATAGACCCCAGCGCCTCCAGACAGGGTTATGACGTGCGCTCGGATGTGTGGAGTTTGGGCATCACACTGGTGAGGCTGACATCATCAGTCACGTGACCCCGCAGTGCAGCTGGTTGTAGTGTGTGTTTTGAATGCTCTGTGCTGCTGTTAATGTTTCAGTATGAGCTGGCCACGGGACGCTTCCCCTACCCCAAGTGGAACAGTGTGTTTGACCAGCTGACGCAGGTGGTGAAGGGCGACCCACCACAGCTCAGCAGCTCCGAGGAGAGACAGTTCTCCCCCAAGTTCATCAACTTCGTCAACCTGTGGTCAGAAACTCACACACACACACACAAACACTAGACAAATCAAACAGACACTCATACACACGTACACACTCACACACAAAGTCTAGACAGATAAAGACAAACACACCCACGCAGGTACACACTCCATTTCCAGGCTCACATTTATAGACACACACTCATACATACACACAAAACATACACCGATACACACATACTCGCACACGTACACACAGTCTCCTATTACATTCATGCACGCTCATATACACACACACACCGAACATAAACGCAAAAAGATACAGACAATGGCACACACACACACACACCACACATAAACGCAAACAGATGCAGACGAACACTCACGCACACACGTACACACTCCAATACCAGGCACACATTTACAAACGCAGACTCATACACACATATATAGATACACATACGCGCAGTGTCATACTACATTCATACACACTCCAATACCAGGCACACATTCACAAACACACACTCATGCACACACACAACATATACAGATCCACACACACACACACACACACACACACACACACACACACACACACACACACACACACACACACATGCTGTGAGTGTTTCCTCTGAGTTTGCAGACTCAGCTGAAGGATGCAGGAGCTGTTGATTTATTATCTGATCACATGATGCACACGGCGCCTCCTGCTGCCCGTCAGAGGAACTGCAGGAGCTCAGTGTTGACTTCATCAGGATTGTGAATCAAGTGTTTGATTTATTATTAAATGTTGGATCTGTTTTCCTTTCTGGCAGCCTTACAAAGGACGAGTCAAAAAGGCCAAAGTACAAAGAGCTTCTGGTGAGTTTCTGACATTGTTTATTTGTGTATGGACAGTTATTACAGTGATGGAGGAGTTGATGAATCAGGCATAATTTAATAACTATATAAAACTGGAAAATCATGGTAGTGATTAAATTATATACTCTAAAATGAAGCTATTAGATTGCTTAAGAAGTCACAAGATGGAATTTGTTTGGTGCTTGAGGAAACCTTAACCTTTTAAAATAAATAATTATTAATATTATTAAAATAATCATAAAAAAGATTAAAAATCTATAATTGAAATCCGATTTTATTTTATCAAGTATTTGTACTCCATTTGTCTATTTTTGCTTTTATTTTTAGTCGTTTTGGTATATTTTTTGTCATTCATGTTAGTAATTTCTACATACACTTACCGGCCACTTTATTAGGTACACCCGTCCAGCCACTCATTGACGCAAATTTCTAATTAGCCAATCACATGGCAGGAACTCGGTTCATTTAGGCATTTAGACATGGTCAAGACGATCTGCTGCAGTTTAAACAGAGCATGAGAATGGGGAAGAAAGGTGATTTAAGTGACTTTGAACGTGGCATGGTGGTTGGTGCCAGACGGGCTGGTCTGAGTATTTCAGAAACTGCTGATCTACTGGGATTTTCACGCACAACCATCTCTAGGGTTTACAGAGAATGGCCAGAAAAAGAGGAAATATCCAGTGAGCGGCAGTTCTGTGGGCGCAAATGCCTTGATGATGCCAGAGGAGAATGGCCAGACTGGTTCCAGCTGATAGGAAGGCAACAGTAGCTCAAATAACCACTCGTTACAACCGAGGTCTGCAGAAGAGCATCTCTGAATGCACAACACGTCCAACCTTGAGGCAGATAGGCTACAGCAGCAGAAGACCACACTGGGTGCCACTACTGTCAGCTAACAACAGGAAACTGAGGCTACAATTCAAACAGGCTCACCAAAATTGGACAATAGAAGATTGGAATAACGTTGCCTGGTCTGATGAGGCCAAGTAGGGTCAGAATTTGGTGCCAGCAACATGAAAGCATGGAGAAATCCTGCCTTGTATCAGACTACTCTCCATTGGAAATGAATGACTTCCGGTCTGTCCCTTGTCGTGTGCAATGGAAAGGAGGCTTAAGACAGTTCTGAAGGCAAAAGTGGGTCCAACCTATTACCAGTAAGGTTTACCTAATAAAGTGACAGAGAGTGTAGTTTTTAATAAAAGTTGAGTTATATTGATACCGCTGCTATTAACAATCAATCTACTACAATTATTACAACTAATAATATTAGTGTAGCAGATTTGTCAGCTTTATTTTTTCTTTTCACCTACAAATGGCAATTTGTACTTGATAAAATATAATGTGCTTTAACAAGATGATAATTTCAAAATGTACTAAAAGTAATGGTTTCATAAAAGAATATATTAATATGTTAAATTATTATTAAACAGTGGCTCCCTTGCTGAAATGCCAATGTCATATAATCACTTCAAATGAGATGATTGCAGAAATTATGTACAATAAGCAGGATCATTTCACTACTTGAAAACGTTTCATGTTCAATAAAAAATCTCCTACATAGTTTTAAAAATTTAGTCTTAAATGTTAACATTTCAAAATAAAAGTCCATGTGTATTCCAGGCTTTATTTCATAAGAATCTGTAATTCGTTATATGCAGGGGTCATCAAATTTGTTCCTGAAGATCTACCTTCCTGCAGATTTCAACCCACATCATACACGCCTTACTGTAATTATCAAGTGCTGTCCAGGTCCTAGGCTGTTTCTCAGTATGCGTTCTTCAGCGATCTTGTGTCCTCGTGTAACGTCATCATCAACCGTTAAAGTTCAGTTCCAATACTCAAGACCGCATGAACGAAGGATGCATAAAAACTTCCCTAATGTGTTCTTGATAGAGGACGCTCCGATGCAGACTTGAGCACCGATTTCGCTCTAGAAGTCCCAGAAGTCATTGTGACTGGAGGTGGGAAGCGCAGCCTTTTATATAGATTTATTATTAAAGCAGGGGGAGGAGCTCGGAGTAGAGCCGCTGCTCCTCCACATCGAGAGAAGTCAGCTGAGGTGGCTCGGGCATCTGTTTCGGATGCCTCCTGGATGCCTACCTAGGGAGGTGTTCCAGGCATGTCCCACCGGGAGGCGGCCTCGGGGAAGACCCAGGACACGCTGGAGCGCCTATGTCTCTCGGCTGGCCTGGGAACGCCTCGGGATCCCCCCGGAGGAGCTGGAGGAAGTGTCTGGGGATAGGGAAGTCTGGGGTTCTCTCCTAAGACTGCTGCCCCCGTGAGCCGGCCCCGGAAAAGCGGCTGAAGATGAATGAATATTATTAGAGCTCAGAGATAACACTTATTTATCTCAGGAGTTTCCCTAAATGAAACGATAAATGTAAACATCACCATGAACATCTTCATAAAAGAATTAAACACATTAAGAGTGTTTGTTTGCTAAAATTTGTATTAAAACCTTCTTTATTTATATTGTGCAATGTATATTTATAATGATTTTATGCATAGTATGTATATTGAAAAGGGGGGTAAACATTAAATCGCTGTATGAATGCTGTAATGTTTAAATAATATTCCATTAAAACACATAAAGGTCATGTGACCATCAGGAAGAACGCAGCCTCTCATTCCTCACAGGGCGTGTTCTGTGTTCTCCCGAATACGTTCTTCCGGGGACACCTGGCAAGACCGGTCTTCACAGGAATGCAAGTCCGTTCTCTGCGTTCTTGGAATGGAGAAACAGCCCTATTTAATTTGTTGAAATGCGTCTGATCAGGGTTGGAGCTGAACTCTGCAGGAAGGGAGATCTCCAGGAACAGGCTTGAGCAGCCGTGAGTAAAAGTCTCCCGTTACGCACAGATGAAATGTAATGGACTCTTCTGTCTTGTTTGTGTCCGTCAGAAACATGCGTTCATCCAGATGTACGAGGAGCGCTCGGTGGACGTGGCCACTTACGTCTGCAGGATCCTGGATCAGATGCCACCGTCTCCCAGCTCCCCGATGTACGTGGACTGACACACACACACACACATAAACACACGCACACACACACATCTGAACGTCCACACGCTGTCTACAGATCTGCTTCATCACACAACTGCAGTATTAAACCAGGAAATGAGCATCTGACATCATCCGGTGTTTAGTTCATTCTCCCTCTCTCTCTTTCTCTTTTTTTACTCTATTACTGTATCTCTCTCTCTCTTTCTCTGTTTACTGTAATATCTCCATGTTCAACACAACAGCACTGATCTGTCCGTCTGTAATGAAGGCTTGATGTTTAATGAGAACTGAACCACCATTGTAACTGAGTTTTCATTGGTTGGTGAAGTCTCCCGGTCTGCAGACCTGACTCGGGTACCTTTAGCTGGAGGGTTCTTTATAGGTGTCTGGATACCCGGCTGACAGGTCTGGAGGAAAATCATGTTCATTGCATCAGTGTTTGGCCCTGGAGTCTCTGGAATATGCTTTATATTCTGTCTTTATAAGCCTCTTCTCCTGTTCTTCTAATGTTTGCAAGAACTTTTCTCTCTAATTTGTTTTACTCTTTTACTGTCTCTTTCTCTCTTTTACTGTTTCTTTCTCAGTGTCTTTCTATTGCTCTCTTTTAATCTCTTTACTCACTTTTAATCTCTCTCTCTCTCTCTCTCTCTCTCTCTCTCTCTTCCACTGTCTCTACTATCTTTCTTTTACTCTTTTTTTTCTTTCTTTTTACTCTATTTACTCTCTTTTACTCTCTCACTGTCTTTCTATTGCTCTTTTTCTTTCTTTTTTACTCTACTATCTCTCTATTTCTCTTACTCTTTTTTTTCTATTACTCTTTCTATTTAATCTGTCTCTCGTTTACAATTTAATTCAACACTTTCTATCGGTTTCTCTCTCCCTTTACTCTCTCTTAGTGTCTTTCTATTGCTCTCTTTTAATCTTTTATTTACTCACTTTTAATCTCTCTCTCTCTCTTCCACTGTCTCTACTCTCTTTCTTTTACTCTTTTTCTTTCTTTTTACTCTATTTACTCTCTTACTCTCTCACTGTCTTTCTGTTGCTCTTTTCTTTCTCTTTTTACTCTTTTTTTACTCTACTATCTCTCTATTTCTCTTTTACTCTTTTTTTACTCTCCTTTACTATCTCTCGATTTCTCTTACTCTTTTTTTCTATTACTCTTTCTATTTAATTTCTCTCTCGTTTACAATTTAATTCAACACTTTCTATCTTTTTCTCTCTCCCTTTACTCTCTCTTAGTGTCTTTCTATTGCTCTTTTACTCTCTTTCTTTTACTTTTTTACAATTCAATTCTATACTCTCTCCATTTTTACTCTCTTTCTCTTTTACTCATTTAATCTCTCTATTTTACAATTCAGTTCAATACTATTTCCATCTTTTAGTCTTTCTTTCTCTCTCTTTTACTCTTTTCCATCCTTTTACTCTTTCTATTTTCTCTCTCTCTCTTACAATTCAATTCAATGCTCTGTTTCTCTCTTTTACTCTCTCTTACTGTCTTTCTATTGCCCTCTTTAACTCTTTATTTTTTATTCTCTCCATTTACTCCCTTTTCTCTCTCTCTCTCTTATATCTTTCTTACTGTCTTTCTATTGCATTTTTCTCTTTTTTACTCTCTACTTACTCTGTCTTTTTTCTTTTGCTCTCTTTTTTATTATCTTTTCTACTGTTTTTCTATTGTTCTTTTACTCTCTATTTACTCTCTCTGTCTTTTTTCTTTCTTTTAGTCTTTCTGTCAAATTGAATTTCTAAAACTGCTTTAGTGGCAATTATACAATACATTATACAATACATTAAAGAGTAAAACAATAATAGATCTGTAAAACTGTAAAATAATAAAGCAAACAGGTACATGCACTCAAAACAAATATATTGTTCCTGCTTGTGCAAGATACTTATTTAAATTTATCTGACACAACACATTTCAGTTTTTATTTTTTTGAGGCCACAACTTAATTGTTTAATGTTCAATCCACTTAAATCTGATCAGTTAACTTAAAAGATTTGTGTCAGGACAGCATAAAGGAATTGTGTGGAACCCAGCATTTTTTCTTATAGTGTGTGTATACTACACTGAAAAAAATATTCATTGGATTTACTTATTTATTTTAAGGTAAGTGGTTGAAAACAATATATTATTTGGGCTGAATTTAATCAAACAAATTAAATATAGTACCATTCAATTTAAAGAGCCCCTATTTTGCAATAAAAGGTCATATTTTGGTTTTAGGGGTCTCCAACAACAGGATGATATGCATGCAAGGTCAAAAAACACTTTCATTGTCTTATAATACGTGTTTATTTTTACCTAATCCCATCGACTCCCATATGAATCGTTCAGCGATTCATTTGTTCCCTAATCGATCTTTAGCACGAAGCTAATCTGCGGCGATTGGAACGATGACCCAGTCTGTTGCGATTGGTCAACTGCGTTCAGCACAAGACAGAAAGACCACGGCTACAATATGAAGCAGCACAGAGTATGTGAGAGCCAAATGCAGGAATGCAATAAAGCAATGCAGTTAAACACCAGCATATTGCTCTACTCTTAAACCTAACCCCAAGTAATAACGACACATATCCAGTATTAATCCACACAGTGGCAAAGGTTTAACTATTTTGAAAATTAACCCAGCCGCGGGTGTGAGGAACAGCTGATGGTGGACCTAGCAAAGGCAAACAGCAGAGGATCAGGAGCGCGTTTAAATCGGTAAAGGAAGAATCACACATCATGTTTTTAATGTGGTTTTGGACGCTACAGATTTAACCTGAGATACAGTACAAGCACTGATCTATAATCGATACGTGATTACAAGCCACGCAGGGCCAAACCTATGACACAATTAAACACATATTTTGCAAACTACACAAAATGAGGCAACAATTTTAATAAAAAAATTCCTCCGTAGGAAGAAGAAACGGGTCCATTTGAACTGTAAAAGTTATTGACAAAGTCCGTTTCAAAGTCTGACAAAGTCCTATAGTCTCTGCTGCTCCTCAGTAGCAAACGGTTGGCGAATCCCGCGTTGCTGCATAGGTTATTGTATCAAAAATCATAACAATGACAGGAACAAACACAGCACTAGGTTGGCTATACTGTGGTGTTGTTGTGAAAATGAACTTGATCCCTTTATTCCCCTCAGCTAAATTTCTATCTGTCATGATCAGTCCGGTGATCCCACGCGTTTCCGCTAGTGTCTAAAGTGAAAGCGCGTTCACATTTTGCCGGAACTGGAACTACATATTTGGTGATGTACTGTATCAACGTCGATGCGATTAAACAAAAGATCCCAACCCAACTTGATTTGCTTATTCGACTCTAAGTTGAATATTTCTCTAAAGAATCAATAGTTTTAAACATGGCGCACTTTCAGATTTAAAGGGCCATGAAACCCCCCTGTCTCAGCAGGGTACTTTCACACCTCTACTTTGGAAAAAGTCAGGAAAGTAGGCGTGTCCAGCTCTGTTTAGGGGAAAGTGGGGAAGGTGCATAAAAATTTGACGTGTCGGTTTGAGCATGCGCTTATTTTCACAGAGGCAAAACAAACACACAGACGTAGGGTAGGAAGACAGTGACTGTGTTTACATTGACATAAGTAATCTAATTATTTGCCTAATTATTAAATGGTGGACTTTAACTGCAGTTTGGCACTTTCACTTAAGAATTTCATTCATGCCCCTCATGACAAACGAGATATTTGATTCGAGGAACTGCTGGAAGCTTGTGTTTTTAATGCAATGTTTGTTACTGCATAGCGAATGAGAGAAAAAAACCCTCAGCATTTCTCTGTAACTTAGCCGTGTATGTTATTCCTGTCACAAAATGCGGTAAAAATCCTACACGACGGTAAGTTTGATCATGGTGTTTACATGTTTACACTCAGAGAGCAGCATTTACAGCAGATCTTTCAATCCATAATATTGTAGTGATATTAATGTACTGTAAACTTTAGTAACTTAGAAGTCATTTGACTAATGTAGCATCCTGGTTAAAGGATGACTAAGTCTTCCACTGATGTTCACGATTCATTTATTGGTCACACTTCATAGAATTTGTTCGCATTATTCAATCATGAATCACCGTAAGAACTAGAGAGAAAATAAACAAACACAAATAAATCCCGAAAATTAACACTAAGCCAACCTCAACAATTAAACATTAAACAAATAAACCAAATTATCTTATTTTTCCCTCAAACCAGGAGCAATAACTCATGAAGGAGGAATCCGTGAAGCAACCGCATACCTGTGCCCCTTTTACCGTGTTTCACCTAGCGTTCCATACTTTGTTTTCATCCATTACTCTGCAATTTTGACGTCACAATTAAAGTCCCCAAACAACTTAATTCATTCAACAAATCAACCCGTATACAAAATACAACACAACATAAAAATAAATAAATTCAAAATCATAAACAAAGTAACACATAATTTCAAGTTTCTTTACAACTAAGGTCCGTCTTTAAACACTGAAAGAGTACTGCTGACGAAATTAACTAACTTTACCATCTGAATAAACAAGACTACTGATTGCTCACTTACCAATTCTGTAGAGACAGGACAATCAACACCAACTGGAACGAGCAGCAAATCCGGATCTCACCATTTCCAGATGAGAAAAGCTCTCAGTAAAAAATGTTCCCTAGACACGTATTTCTGTCGAGCGTCACGTGCACTGATCCACGCGTGAGTCCAGCTGCGCTCTCATAGAGGGAAAATGAAAACAAAACCTGCACTGCAGCAAATTATAAAAGCAACACCGACGACCCGTATCTCCAAACAATTCTTCTTTTCCCACTTGCTTTGGCAACACAAAGTGTCGTCTCTTTGCCGTCTGAACACTGTACAGGTACAAACAGTCTTCGAAGCTATCATGCATATTAATGAAGTTGCACTGCATACACAAAAGAGTGCGCCGATTGGTTTGATAAGTCTTTTTAATGAATGAATGCAGCACACTCAGAGAGGTCACGAAGTACTCTCAGGTACAGACGTCCAGTCTACATGCTAGAATACACGCTAAGATCTCATGCCCGTGACGCAGCTTCAAAAAATGTTTAATCCGGAAGAACGAATTTACTCGAAATAATTTTCACTTTTTAGTGACATATACGTGTCCTAATAGTGTT